CTCCGTAACATTATGCAGTTTTCATTTATATGCTGCCATTGCTGATGATCGCATTATTTATCATATGCATCTGTTTACATAAGAGATCGCTAGTTTTTCCGTCCTGTTCACGTGTGTTTTTTGTTCGGGAGGTCTTGTACTCGTTCAGAAGATGTGTAATAGCGCCCCCGAGTGTGTTAACAGTGAAAACACGAAAAGCCGTAAAAACTCGTCTTTGGCGGGGAAGCGTTGTCTTCTAAAAGACGAGATAACTCGTCAATGGCGGGGAAAGAGTTAAGAACTTTAATATGCATTATACAGAGGCAAGATGAAAAGAAAAATATACCATCTAAACTTTTCTAAAGACAGTAAGTTCCCCTCAGACATACATTCATATAAACTCCTACACCTAATTGAATCGCGGTTTGTTTAGCATCTCAACCGATCTGAATCGTCACATATTTTAATTGATTTTCAACCGGCTCGCGGTTAATCGTTACATCCCTAATGGCTACTGTAGCAGGCTGTGCCAGAGGGTGTTTAGCCATTGTGGGACAATGGCTGATGTGTTACATCTGAAAATAAATTCAGATTCGGTTACAGAAATGCAAGCCAAAATTCAAAGACTTGGCAAAATATGCAGAAACAGACAACCGGGTAAAACTAGGGTAAACATTGGTGGTGCTTTAACAAGGAATTTAATGGAATCTTTGGGTTTCAATTGAGACACCAAAATTGAGAGGTTTCGTCTCCACAGGTAAGCTAAACTCAATAAAGCCACAGATAATTGCATACAAAGAAATGTCAGTCTCCTCAATGATGGGAACATTGTGACTAGGTGGTGCTTAAGTTGGTTCTAGATGTTCTGAATTGATTTTAAGAGTTTGAGAAAGCTTTATAAGTGCGGCAGAAACCCTACACACAAACTTGCTGAAGAATGCTGTGAGAACAGCATCTACATGCTAATGGCCAACATCACAAGTCTTTTTCAAGAGGCGCGCAAGTCGTGTGCATAAACAGATGACCTTGCGCGTACGCACACTAGGAGCTGAGCTGCAGGCTTAAAGCTGATACCTCAATGCTTTCCCAATGTAAATATCTCTTCTCTTTAACACAAATGAGATATAAGATGAGGTTGTGTAAGCTTTACATCATTTCAGAGCTGAACAAATCAATGCCAAAATCCTCTAAATGCAATCTGCTTAAATGAGAGTAGAGAACAGAGTCAGCATGATTGCATAAAAGAGACAGCCGACACCTGCTGCCCATCCTCGTGATCCAGAGCATGATGCAAGTTTTGCACTTTGGACAAACTTCACATGTCTCTAATGAGCAGATGCTTTCCGGAACTTCAGAGTGGTGACAGCGGTGCAGAGGAGAGGCATGTACCGCCCATCCATTCATTATCAGTGTTGGAGGAAGAGATGCACAGATGTTTGACATCAGCTGGTGTCAAATAAAAGGCTGGCTCATCTCTTTTCCTCACTCAACCCAGATGAATGTGCAACTACACGTGAATAATCACATGTTCATACATCACATTACGCAGCGTGGAGACAAATAGCTTGTCCCAACTTGTTTTTGTAGGCTTGAAAGTAGCATGATTGCCTTCATCTACTGTCTGACAACTTTTGACACTATTTTATGGTAATTTATACTGTGGGCCCTAAATGTGTATGCTAATGGTACTTTTGTACCAAGCTGATAGTAAAACATTCTATGAAGAGCAGCTGCACACATGAATAGTCAAATGCTCTTCTTGTCCTTAATGCTTGGCGAGGTATTAATGTAAACACAGTTGGCTGTTTCAAATTAAAGTAAACAGACATTACAAAAAAATAATAAAAAATCAGATGTGTGTTCAATACAGGATCTATGTATTAGGTCTTGCAGTGTAAATGAAGCCTAATAGACCTGTCGCTGTGTATTATGTCAAACTGACAGCGTAATGTCGGTATTCATTTCTTATAATACAGTGCGATCATTGAAGACATTGCCAATAATACCATTACCATTATTATCTCATCTTGAACAGTTACTTGAATAAGCTAAAGCAATGCTTATTATTAAATATTTTTGTCATCATGATCATTTTTCTAAAATACTTAATTTAAGGCTATACATCGTCAGTGTTATATTATTGGTTTACTACTATTTATTTTTTAAATATTTTAAATTAGTTTTATTTTTCTATGTTCTATTTAAAAAAAATTTAAAGATGTATTTTTTTTGGCATTTTTTGCCTTTATTGTGACATTATTTGAGGTTTCTTCATCAACCCTCTACGGACACCTTGGCAATTGAGGGACGATAATAGGGGAGCACCAGCCAATGAGATTGTCGTTTGCGCATTAGTTCCGCCTACTACAGGAAAACCTGGCAGTTCTTAAAAGCTGAAGAATTCCAAAGCGAGTAAACAAAAAAATGTACTAGCCAATGGCGATTCAATTGCCAAGGTGTCCGTAGAGGGTTGTACTATAATAATAATAACTATAATAAGCCTGTATCTCTTTTGTTTAATTTATGATTAATTATATTATATATAATTTCATATAAATAAATTTGAATTCTGCTCTAAAATTGAATATGTTCTACAGCATAAATTTTAGCTGGGGCAGCGAAATTTGTGCCGAGTTGTGAGGTTTTCGGTAAGCTCAAATGAGAATGAGCCTCTTTCCAAGCTGCCATTTGAGAAGACACCTCTGAAAGCATGGTGTGAATGGAGACCTTTGACCTGCGGGGTCACTCTCTCTATCGCCCTTTGGACACTTGAACAAGTTAACAGGAATGTCTTGGGGCCTCAAGCAGCCAGTGACTAGCAGGCAAAATTAGCCAGCTGTAACGCGGCATGACCACCCGTTGGCTCAGCGCGCGTCATTCAATATCGTTGATTGTATTTGGTGCCTGAGGAAGGGCTGATTTAACAGCGCTTACAATGCTCTGATTCTTAGCAGAGCAGCACGCCTATATTTATACATGCCCTGATTACACTCCACTGACATGCCGGCCCCCAAGACAACTCCCAGCATCTCTCTCTCCAAATTTCCTCTCGGAGTTCTATAACTCTACTTTAAGTGTTTTTTTCCTCTTTTCGGTGCTCCAGTCTTGTCATATCGGCTCTGCTTCAAACAGAGAATTCCATTTTCATTTTCTGCCTTGTACAATGTACAATCAATTATCTGGAGAGGCCTTTCAAATTACACAACATACCAGACAGATGAGCTAGGCATGCAGCTGGAAAAGAACCTACAACAGGCCTTTTTGTTTCCACACTATAACCTATTACTCATTTCATGTGCGGTGGAAATGAATACGGACCGCTTAACGGCTTTGAAATGTGTCTAAATTTGACAATTCGAGAGGAATTTTCAAACAGCCCTTTCATCTTCTCTGTAATCATTTGCTTATTCATGTGAAAATAATAACTCAATTTTCATTCCCTTCCACGGCCGTGCTCTCCTTTTTTCATATTTACGCTTAACTGGAGAGACATTTGCAAATCACCATGGATTTATTGGCTTTTAGGGATAAAAATAAGCACACGGTTTCTATAAGAACAAAACCGCAGCATGCATTGTGCTCCATTGCATATTGGTTTCTAAGACGTGATAGGAAAACATTTCCACCGCAGCTGCTCTGTGCACAAAATGTCTTGTCGATTAACAAAAAAAAAGAGAGAGAGAGAGAGCACTGTCATGATTTCCTCCACAATTCATCTCTTTCAAATTGATTTGTGAACAAAACTCGGAGGGAGCTTATGGAAAATGGAACTGGGGAAACCTTGTGCTCTGCAGTCCAGAGATTCACAGAAAATAACAGAATCGGGCACAGCTAATAAATCGCCTGCTGTCAGTCAGGCAGACAAATAGCATTTGATTTCCATGCTGTACTGCAGCGGTCAGAGCTTCCAAATCAGCCCAAATAATTATGTTAAAACCAGCTGCTCCTGACAGCGCTATTCTCACACGTCTGTGACAGCTTATTTGTTGAGAAGAGGAAAGGCACCCTGCCTGAAGTGGTCTGTCATGGTTGTTCTTCCAGCCAACTTTTTAGGGACCAGGCACCTATTGTATCTGTATTATTATTCTGCATTTTCTGCACTCAACCTTATGACAGCCCTAAGAAACCATGCACACTGGACAGGAATGTACACTACTTGTGAAAAGTTTGGAAGAATTGTTTTGTAATGTTTTTGAAAGAAGTTCTTCTGCTCCCCAAGACTGCATTTATTTGATCAAAAAATACAATAGTAATATTGTGAAATATTATAACAATTTAAAAGAACTGTTTTCTATTTTAATGTATATTTTAAATAGTTTTCTATTTTACATTTTTTTAACCGCTAAGCTGAATTTTCAGCATCAATGCTACAATCTTCAGTGTCACATGATACTTCAGAAATCAGGCTTCTTATTATTAATGTTGAAAACAGTTTTGCTGCTTAATATTTTGTGGAAACTGTTATACACTACCATTCAAAAGTTTAAAGTAAGAATTGTAATTTTCAGCAAGGATGCACTTTTTTCTTTTTTTCTTTTTACAAAATATTAAGCTAAAATATTAAGCCAACATTAATATTCCAACATTGATCATAATAATAATAACCATTATTAATAATTGAGTGCCAATAACATTTGATAATAGAGCAGCAAATCAGCATATTAGAATGATTTCTGAAGGATCATGTGACACTGAAAACTGGAGTATTGATGCTGAAAATTCAGCTTTGCCATCACAGGAATATATTACATTTTTTAAATATTAATATACAAAACAGTAAATTTAGAATTGTAATAATATTTCACAGTATTACTGTTTTTGTTGAGCCTTGATGAGCATAAGAGACTTCTTAAAAAAAAAAAAAAAATTTACCTAAGGCCAATTTTGGCGCTACTAGTCACTCAAATGTTTTAGCCCCATTGGAGGTTTTAATGACATACAATTGTGCTATTGATGTGCTTGGCACTGTAAATTTTTGTGTTGCATCTAAACAGGCTACAAGGACACAATGAAAAACTGACCAGCTCTGGGACTTTAACTGAGGCGTCCTTTTCGCTCCCAGGTTTTTGTTCGTCCTTTGGCCGCTTCATGGCTGTCATCTTTGTTTTTACAATGCTCTCCTGAGCACTTCCCTCTTGTTTGCGGGCTTTGACGGGTGGAAGGGGTTTGTCTTCCTCTCCTTTAGTAAATCTCTCATAGGGTAGGATGAGCCTGAGGAAAAGGAGGAAGTGATACAGGTTAGAAGAATCAGACTGATTCATCATCTGTTTGCATTTCTATTATTTTAAACATTCCTGTCTTCTTCCTCAGCTGTTAATAATAATAACTGATATCATTGTTTCCTGAAGGCTTTATCTGTTATCCTAGACAAACTGAAATTGACTCATGAAACAAAAAGAAACATCTCCTTCCTGTGAACCGATGTTACAGTAAATGTGGTTTTGTTCATAATAGATGACTGTTTTTTCATACAGATACTTTTAACCCTATGGGCTTGTAAGAAATATACTCTCTTAAAACTCACTAGATTATTTTGAACTTAATTTAGTTTTTAAATCACAAACCACCATTCAACACGTGATAGAAATTACATTATTATATACATTAATGCCATTTCAATAAAATGATTAATTTGTCTTGCTAACTTAGGCTTATATTTAATTGCTAGAATTCAAGTATAAATATTCATATTGCTAATTTTGCACAATATTTACTTGTGTCAAGATCACTCTTTACTAGCTGCGTTTCCATCCACCTATTTTTATGCGCATTTTGGAATATCGCATAAAAAAGCGCTGGATGGAAACGCCAAGATGCGCATAAATTCTAAAAAGTTTTTTTATGCGCACATTTGAGTAGGATAACATTTTTATCCAATAAGAAAAAATGCACATAAACTACGATGGAAACACATTACCGAATAAATTCCTCCATGCACATCGAAAAAGTCATGTGACTTTGCGCTATGAGATGCGATAACTTGACTAGCAGTGGACCGATCTCGTTCACAGCATCTATATGTTGTTATGGTCATTCTGAAATGCCTGAGCAAAGTCTGTCGTCAAAGTATTTCTGTATAATTGTCTTACACGACTGCGTTCCCAAACAGCAGCATCCACCTCCGAAAGCATTCACAGCATTTATTGTGTTACATCTGCTCTCTCCGAGGTGCAAGTAATATATATCATATATGAAAATTATTATATTCAGTGGGTTCTCCTATATTCTTAGTGATATTTAGTGCCATAGTTTACCAGGACGTGACGATTTTGCTCTCTTTGACTCGTTGGATGGAAACGGTGCTTTATTTGCATACGTTTTATGCGATATTCCGGTTTTGCGCATAAGTTTAATTCGAATCTTTGGATGGAAACATAGCTACTGACACTGTTGCTAACTTAAATTATCAAACAGACAAAAATTGGGGTTAGGGTGGAAATGGCATCTCAACTTAGGAATGGTGGTAATATTTGAAAAATAAATAAAAATAATTTTCACACAATAATTAATTGTTTGTTTACATTAGTCTTTGTTTTGATTGTCATGGTTTATAAAAATAAAATAAACAATTTAAGAGTGTAATGCCATATTTTAAAATAAAATTTTCTAAATGCATGTTATTGATCTCACTGTAACCAATTATTTCATGCATGTTTAATTTTTACTTTTTTTTCTCGTAAATTTTTCTTTTTCCGTTACACTCGGATATACATTACAATATGGAATACAAGATCTGTCACTACTTCTGTTTCATTGCGACTTTAAGATTAAAAGTCAACGTTTTAGTCACAGGTAAAAACAATACAATTTATATAAAAAAGGCAAAAATAAATAATAAAAGTCATGTTAATAGTTTCCAAGAAAGTTTGGTCAAAGTATTTCTGTATAATTGTCTTACACGACTGCGTTCCCAAACAGCAGCATCCACCTCCGAAAGCATTCACAGCATTTATTGTGTTACATCTGCTCTCTCCGAGGTGCAAGTAATATATATCATATATGAAAATTATTATATTCAGTGGGTTCTCCTATATTCTTAGTGATATTTAGTGCCATAGTTTACCAGGACGTGACGATTTTGCTCTCTTTGACTCGTTGGATGGAAACGGTGCTTTATTTGCATACGTTTTATGCGATATTCCGGTTTTGCGCATAAGTTTAATTCGAATCTTTGGATGGAAACATAGCTACTGACACTGTTGCTAACTTAAATTATCAAACAGACAAAAATTGGGGTTAGGGTGGAAATGGCATCTCAACTTAGGAATGGTGGTAATATTTGAAAAATAAATAAAAATAATTTTCACACAATAATTAATTGTTTGTTTACATTACTCTTTGTTTTGATTGTCATGGTTTATAAAAATAAAATAAACAATTTAAGAGTGTAATGCCATATTTTAAAATAAAATTTTCTAAATGCATGTTATTGATCTCACTGTAACCAATTCTTTCATGCATGTTTAATTTTTACTTTTTTTTCTCGTAAATTTTTCTTTTTCCGTTACACTCGAATATACGTCACAATATGGAATAAAAGATCTGTCACTACTTCTGTTTCATTGCGACTTTAAGATTAAAAGTCAACGTTTTAGTCACAGGTAAAAACAATACAATTTATATAAAAAAGGCAAAAATAAATAATAAAAGTCATGTTAATAGTTTCCAAGAAAGTTTGAAGTAAAACCCTGTTCATGTTAGTGAACAGTCAGCAACTGGGGCGTAAAAGTGTGTTAACAGAATCAAAGCCAAGATGACAATAGATATGAAATTATGATTTACTTGAGAATGTTATTGGGGATGGAGGATCTGCCTTTCTACTCTTGTAGTTTGAAGTTTTTATAATGTGTCCGATGTGATTAATGAGTCTGGCTGGGAACTGTTGGAGGCATGCGGAATTATAAATATATCCTCTCTAGTAGACCAGTCCTAATCCAAATACATTTCACATCTCGTGCATCACGATACACGAATGCAAAAAAGGAGCAGCAGGCAAAGCCAAACATAAATATGATGGAGATGGCTTAATGCGACAGACAGCTCTATTACAATTATTTGTGATTTTCTTTGTCTACAGTTTCCCTCTTTTCATTCCCTTCATTCTTGTTTAATAAGATCTGTTGGTTTGTCAAGAGGGATTCATCTGCTTTAGTTTGTAGCCGTGTGTTTACTCAACGCCGGGATGTTCGGGGCTCTCAGAGGCGGGACGCACTGAGCACGCTCAGACAGGGGCTGTGCGGGAAAACTATGCCAGCTGAGGTTTGGCGACCGGCCAGTGGCAAAGCTAAGCAGGAGCCCAGAGGGAACATTCATCTTCAGATCCCATTACCAAAAGAGTTTAAACATGTTACAGCTGCTAAAAGTGGAAAACGGCTCGGTCCGCGCAGTCAAATCAAAATAGCAGGCAGCTGCCAAATACCTGATTCCCACTGTAATGTTTCACTTCATGTTTACATAATGGAGGTATAATAATGCATAGAATGACTTATCTTGTTCACAGCTAATCCTCAGAAATCTCCCTCGTCTGGAACTAAATGAGTTTTTTTCAAACCCCCGTAGAGTCCTTAGTAAGATTTAAGCGGGTCTTGTGATGCCCAGTTTTAAACCGTGTGCAAAAGGCGACGTTATATTTACCTAATATTCTCTTTCGATTAGCTGGAGGGAAAATTGCTATCAGATGTTGCTGTTTTAATTTGTCCTTTTTTTATGCGAGTGAGAGTTGAGATAAGAATGGAAATAGCCCCCCGTCACAAGGTGAGAAGTCAGGGAATAAATCATGACGAATATCCCCACTCATTCTCTCCACATGACCATTTATGGGAATAACAAGTCACCGTTCCTTTCCCATTTCAGTTCACAGAGGGGGAAAACAAACTGTAGAAACTCTTTCCTTGCAAGTTAGGCTGTGGAGTGTTTCCTCAGAGGGAAAATGTTTTTAAGAGGTTGAGGGCGTCTGTGAGATTTAAATTTTTGTTATTTTCATTGAGCTCAGCAGCTGGCAGATAGACAGCAGTATAACTCCATTTCATACAGCCGGTAAAGGGCATGATGCCAAGAACAGGAAATATGCAATTAAATGTCCTTTTATGAGAGAGAGAGATAGAGCTAAGCAAACACAAAGATTTAGTTTCAACATTGGTAGGGATACAGATATACATGTACTCCTACATTGCTTCTTTTGCAGTCTTAATCCATTCAAGGTTTTCTTGTAAATCTTTAGGGCATTATGGCTGGATCGATACCAATATGTTGGCTTTGATACTAAGATGATACGTTAGACAACAAATAAACAGTCTAAGGTCACCGATGAAATAAAACAAGTGATCAGTATTTGATCAGTCTTTTTTGCTGTTAATGCACAATCAGTTCTTTTTAAAGCAAAGAAAACAAATCAATATGTGACCCTGGACCACAAAACCAGTCATAAGGGTCAATTTCTCGAAATTGAGATTTATACATCATGAATAATTAAGCTTTCCATTGATGTATGGTTTGTTAGGATAGGACAATATTTGGCCGAGATACAACTATTTGAAAATCTGGAATCTGAGGGTGCAAAAAAAACAAAATATTGAGAAAATCGCCTTTAAAGTTGTCCAAATGAAGTTCTTAGCAATGCATATTACTAATCAAAAATTAAGTTTTTATATATTTACGGTAGGAAATTTACAAAATATCTTCATGGAACATGATCTTTACTTAATATCCTAATGATTTTTGGCATAAAAGAAAAATCAATAATTTTGACCCATACAATGTTTTTTTGGCTATTGCTAAAAATATACCCAAGCGACTTAAGACTGGTTTTGTGGTCTAGGGTCACATATGTAAGTGTTCTGCATTTCATTTGGATGACACGTTTCTTTTTTGTACCACATAACTGCTGTATATAAGTCATCTGCAATTTTATCTACCACCTGAAAAAGTGAAATGAGACTAAAATCTAAAATTTGCTGAAATTCCAATTTTTGATGAGAAAAATACAAATTTAGTTTCAGTTTGATTTCGTTTGAAACATTTGAATCTTTTTAAATATTACTTTTTTTTTAAATACTGCTGAAAAAGTTAAATGTAACAGTATCTAAAATTTGCTGATATTCATGTGTTGATAATCAAATCCAAATTTAGTGTCATCTTTATTTATACAATATGAAAGGATAAAATATTTAATATGGGTCTACCTGCAATTTGATTTCATAAAATAATTGGAA